CCTGCGGATAAAATCTCGAAATTGGCGCGTCTCCGAGACATCTCGCGCCGACCGCCGCGCCTGCATGTCGCCGAGCGCTAGCCGCCGCGACGACCTGCCGACGCGAACGCGGGGCGAATGGAGAAGAATATGACTCACATGAGATGCAAAAATGGAGATCTCGTAGCGATGCTGGGCTACGTGCGGCATTTGCGCACATAAGCCACCTCGTGCCAAAAAAACACAGTAGGCGCGTGCGTTACGGGTGGGCGGAGCGAAGCTCACAGCCACACTCCAACACTAGAAGCCAGACTGGCGACGACAACAACGCTGGTCGGGAAAGATCGCTGTTTTCGACGACGGCCGCCCTCAGTCATTTACTACAACGACTACTGCGACTACTACGACGACTCCTACTTTTACTACTCCCACTACTACTTCTACTGCTACTACGAAGTCTGCCCGAACGAGGGAGAGTGGGCCCGCCTTTCAGCCAGAACGCGGGAAGTCGTCGACATCGTCGTCGAGGGAAGGCGAACGCGGCAGGGGGGATGATGATGGTCTCCTCCTCCCCCGTGAACCGCCAGCCCCCCAAAAAAGGGTGGGCCGCTCGGGCGTTTATACAAGACGCCAAAATTGAAACATTCCTGCAGGCCGCCTCTGCAGGAATTGAGGCGCAGCCCCTCCCGCAGCCGCACTGCGGGTGCGCCGGCGGGCGCGGGGGGGGGCGGCGGTGGCGCCGACGCGCAGTTGGTAGCTGTCCTCCTCCTCCCCCACCATCATAGCGATGATGAGGATGATGAGCATCCTACGATGATGAGGCCCTGTGTCCCGTCCCAGAGTCCCAGGCCCCGCCCTAGGCCGCGGGCCAGGCTCCCTCCCCCCATCGACTCTCAACTGCGTCCGTGTTATATATGTATACATATACATATATATGTATATATATACATATATATATACATATACGCCGACACACCATACATATACAAGATATACATTTATGCATCTAGTAATCGGTCTGCGGAGCCCCGACGCCGCCCAGAGCCGCCCAGCTGCCAGCAGCCAAGACGACCGCCCGGAGCGAGAGGCAGGGTCGTCGTCGTCGTCGTCGTCGTCGTCGGGGAATACTCACTTTAGACAAAACTTGAGACAGGACCGCAAATGATTCAACAGAACACAAAACAACCAAGACAACATGACATTTCTGAAACGTGCGACTGCAGGATCGCCAACGGACTCTAGTGTCCATTGTTAGCTTTTATACACTTAGAAACCCTGTGGTAAGCCTTGAAGAAATCTAAAGCTTGAGCCTGACAGCCTTGTATAGTAGTATAGCCTGAAGATCGAGGATCCCTGGTAGGCGGAGCGAAGCTCACAGCCACACTGAAATACTGCGACCCAGAATGGCAACAACGACGACGCTGGTCGGGGAGATCGCTGGACTCGACGACGAACGCCCTCTGTCTTGCCTCCCAACTCCTTCACTCCCTCCTCCTCCTCCGACTCGTCCTCCTTCGGCTCCCCCACAAGGAGGCTGTACAAGAAGGGAGAAGGAAATAGGAGCAGAGGGTATATGCGAAGGCAGGCAGACACACGCCTGCACCAAACGACTGTCGGCATGCTTCGCTGGGAATGCTGTTCGGAGATAGTACTACTACTACTACTACTACTACTACTACTACTACTACTACTACTACTACTACTACTACTACTACTACTACTACTACTACTACTACTACTACTACTACTACTACTACTACTACTACTACTACTACTACTACTACTACTACTACTACTACTACTACTACTTACTACTACTACTACTACTACTACTACTACTACTACTACTACTACTACTACTACTACTACTACTACTACTACTACTACTACTACTACTACTACTACTACTACTACACTACTACTACTACTTACTACTACTACTACTACTACTACTACTACTACTACTACTACTACTACTACTACTACTACTACTACTACTACTACTACTACTACTACTACTACTACTACTACTACCTACTACTACTACTACTACTACTACTACTACTCTACTTCTACTACTACTACTACTACTACTACTACTACTACTACTGCTGCTATTACTAGTACTACTACTACTACTGCTACGACTGCTACTCGTGCTAGTACTATTACGAGCACTACTAATTCTACTACGACGGCTAATTCTACTGCTTCTGCTACTGCTAGTGTCATTGCTACTGCTACTACTAGTACTACAACTACTACTGCTACTGCTACTACTACTACTAGCACTACTAATACTACTTCATCTGCGACTAGTACTCGTACTACTACTACGACGACTACTACTACTACTACTACTACTACTACTACTACTACTACTACTACTTCTTCTACGACTACTACTACTACTACTACTACTGCTGCTACTACCACTACTACTACTACTACTACTACTACTACTACTACTACTACTACTACTACTACTACTACTACTACTACTACTACTACTACTACTACTACTACTACTACGACTCCTACTACGAAGGGCCCGAACGACTCGCACGCGGACGAGGTGCCCAAACGCCTCACACCACGAGAAGCCCGACCGACTCACACCAGGACGAGAGGCCCGAACGACTCACACCACGAAGAGCCCGAACGACTCACACCAGGACGAGGGGCCCGAACGACTCACACCAGGACGACGCGCCCGAACGACTCACACCACGAGGAGCCCGAACGACTCACAACACGAGGAGCCCGAACGACTCACACCAGGAGGAGGGGCCCGAACGACTCACACGACGAGGATACCGAACGACTCACACCAGGAATAGGGTCCCGAAAGACTCACACAAGGACGACGGGGCCGAAGGACTCACACAACGAGGGCCCGCACCGCCGCCTTCGTCGTCGTCGTCGTCGACGTCGTCGTCGTCGTCGTCGTCGTCGCGGTTGTGGTCGTCGTCGTTGCGGTCGACATCGTCGTCGTCGTCGTCGGGTGCGTCGTCGTTGTTCAGATCATCGCTGAGATCGTCCTCTCCGCTGAGTCCCTCTTGCCTCCCACCGCTTTCTCTCCCTCCTCTTCCGCGTCGTCCTTCTCCCGCTGCCCCCACAAGGAGGATGTACAAGGAGGCGGGAAGAAGGAGGACCAGAGGAGATATGCGGGGCCAAGCGGACACACGCCTGAAAAAAACAACTGTCGGCACGCTTCGCAAGAGTTGCTGTTGTGAGATGGGCTGGTGGGGATACGCGAAGCGTAAAGAATTGACATAAAACGCGTATGGAAGACATACCGCACGAAAAGGTGACCTGAGCTCCTCACCGGTTTCACGGCTCCCTCGAGTCGGGCCTCCGGAGCTCCTGGAGGCACCTGGGGACCCTTCAGACTCTCTCGCAGAACCTTCGGGGACCTCCAGGGAGGTCGTGGATGGTGTCGGAGGAGCACGTGCACGGGCGAATCGAGGGTGGACAGAAGCCCCTTTAGCAGAACATCCTCGGCGAAACCTCCCCAGGACCAGGCCCAGCGGACACAAACCCGCACAAGTTGCGACCGCAGCGCCCCCCTCGAGAACCGAGACAAGGGCAACCCGCTGATCGACTTGGCAGGGTGGGGATTCTATCAACCTGCGATCTGGGGACCTCCAAGGAACTCGTACATGGCGTCGGGAAATCGCGTACACCCGAAACGCCTGGACTGCAGGCGGGGTCGGGGGAGCACAAGGTGGGGTCGGGGGCGTTGCTTGATGAGGGGGCGAAGAAACGTGCACCTTTCGCGCCCCTCTGGGGCCCCAGGGGGGCCCCTATAGGGCACAACAAACAAAGGAGCACATTTCGTCGTCAAATTCCCCATGCGTCGCCCCCTCCATTACGCAGCGCCCGAGGATGGAAAGGATCGGACTCCAGACCACACCGCATCGGCGACGCGGCGCGGCCCTCCGACCTCATCATGCGGAGGGGTCCCCCCTGGGAGGCCCTGCAAGCCTCCAGGGGCCCCAAAGGAATGTACGTCGTCGTCGTCGTCGTCGTCGTCGTCGTCGTCGTCGTCGTCGTCGTCGTCGTTATCGTCGTTATCGTCGTAGTTATCGTCGTGATCGTCGTCGTCGCCGCCGCCGCCGTCAACGTCAACGTCGTCGTCGTCGTTCGTCTTCCGTGGTCCGTCGTCCGTCGTCCTTCGTCCGGCGTCTGGAGTCCGTCGTCTTCGTCGTCGTGTCCGAGCAGAGATTGATGAGGGACGCAGAAGCACATACTACGCGGAGGCTGGACGGACTCAGGGCGTAAATCACTGCGGACAGAATGGCTAAGAGCAGGGGAAATCGCGCAAGCGCGGACCTGCAACAAAAAAAACGAAGAAAGCCGACGCACCGACCACAACAAAACAAATACCTTATTATGACAACGCAGAAACGAAAACCATAATGTTTCAAGTTTGCCGCGGCCCGGGCAGATCCAGAAACTTCCAGACGTACCATGCGCCCTCCTCGGAGGCGCACAGCCGACCCAAGCAGATAGTACAAACATATTGTAGCATACCGTTCCCCAAGCTGTGTGGCCATACAGAAGCCCGCCACGGAGCTTGTATTATAAGCATGTTTGGTGTGCTTGTCGCCTGGAAGAAACGACGCACACATAGTCTTAGTATGTTGGGGGTAACGGCGACGATGGTAAGGCAGACGGTTGGCATCAGCACCAAGAAGCACATAGCCCCTCGTGACGAAACGTTACTTCATACTCCACGGGGCCTTGGCGCTGGTGTCGACTTCAGAGGCCCCGACAAACTCCCTGTGCCTGCTCTGGCCCATTTAGCGAACATCCGATGCGATCCCCATCCTTGCTGGCGTGGCCTTGGCCCCACCAACCGACTTGCCCCCAGTGGCGGGGATCCATTGCGTTCCCTTTCTGGGTTTCGCGGAACCTACCCCCACCTGAGCTGTTGGGGTCTGAGATACCATGGCCAAGCGGGGTTTGGGATCCGTTCGGCCATGCTGCCGAAATTTAGTGTACGCGGCCAGGGGCACCGCAAGCGCCGTCGCAATGGGGGCGGTACTCGTACCCGCTCTTGTAGTACAGCCAATTCACAGGCTCCTGAGGGGGCACGGTAGGGGGAAAACACCATGCTTGAATCTGCGATGCGTCGTCGATAGATCAGCGATTAGCCCCCGATGGCAAATCCGCCCGCTCCTGGGAGGGGTGGGCTACTTATCGGGCCCCCATCGGCGACGAATGGGTGATTGAGTCATTCGGTGCCTGCGCTGCGTCTTAACGTGTTACAGCCGCGCCGCTGGCAATGGAGCTTGTCTCACCACTTTGCCAATGCACCTCTGACGTGCACGGCTTCTCTCTCGTTCACTCTCTCTCTTTCTCTCTCTCTCTCTCTCTCTCTCTCCCCCCTAACGTTGCCCGGCCGAGGAGGAACAGGCGCGGCGTCTGGCTTTCGGGCCAGAGGTCGGGTCTCCAACAGCCGTTCGGGGCGATTGGGGCGCCCCTGCACGCTCTCGGCGAGACGGGGCTGCCACAGCGCATCCAGAGGCAAGAGAACCCAAGGAACCGACGAAAGCGCAAAAAAACAGAACCCGTGGTTGCCCCTATTCATCGGCTCCTGGCCCTCGCCGTCGAGCTCGTAACCAGTCAGCTGCCGCGCCGTCTCGAAGAAGCGGGCAGCGAGTCTCGTGAGGGTGTCGTTGGTCTCGCCGGGGTAAAGGTTCTTCGATAAGGTGCGCCTGTCGTGGGAATAAGACGTGGGAGGTGGGGGGAGTGGGAGGAGGCGGATGGGGCAGAGAGGGAGGGGGAGAGAGAAATGAGAAGGAGGAGGAGGAAGAGGAGAGGAGGAGGAGGAGGAGGAGGAGGAGGACTCTCGCATCTGATTGAATGTCTGTTTTGTCTTGCAGCTACTGAGCGCTGCTGCTGCTGATTGAAATGCCCATTGCAATGTGCGTCTCCCGAACCAATATTTCGAGTGATTGGGGCAACAAAAACTATGGGGCAATAGTTCCCTTGTTAGGGGTGGCGGCACGTGCGAAAGAAGCTCAGGGCTGGGATCTTATTATTCGAGGCTGGTCAATGAGGGTACTCTCTCTGGAACCCTCTAGCCATGAATTGAAAATCGACTCCGCGATCCCAGCAAACCATTATACGGTCTCGTTTTCGAGGCGGCCGACAACATGTATAAATACCAGCATGTGTATATACATATATATATATATGTGTACATACGCATGGATATATAACAAAAAAATACACCGGACTCACTTCTATAGCGCTCACTTCTATAGTGCTCACTTTGAAATTGTGGTCCGGAAGGGGCCGCACATGCAGGCACATGCCGCACAGTCGCATGCACATGCCCATGCAAATATACAAAAGTCTCAACAGCATTGCCGCACATGCGCGCACATGCCACACCGTCCGACGCACAGTCGAATGCACGGTCAAGCAAAACTCTCAAAGCATAGACGCACATGCCCGCACATGCCGCAGAGATGTCGCAGGCGATAGTGGCCTGACCACCTGAGCTCGGGGCATTTCGCAACCCAGAGTTCCGAGGATGTCTCAGGCAAACGTGGCCGCCGGATCACCATGGGGCAGGGCATCTGGGAAACCAGAGTGGCGAGGATGTCGCTGGTCAAGGTGACCAGACGACCATGGGGCAGGACACCTCCGAGGTCTGAGTTGTGAGGATGTCTCAAGCGAAAGTGGCCTGACCACCATGGGGCAGGAGATCTCTGAGGTCAGAGTTGCGAGGATGTCTCTGGGGAGAGTGGTCTGACCACCTCAGCCCAGGGCATCTCGGAGCCCAGAGTTGCGAGGATGTCTCAGGCAGGACTGGCCTGACCACCTGCTCAGGGCATCTCAGAACCCAGAGTTGCGAGGGTCTCAGGCGAAAAAGGCCGAGACACTATGGAGCAGGGCATCATTGAGGTCAGAGTTGCGAGGATGTCTCAGGCAAAAGTGGCCTGAACAGCTCAACTCAGGGCATCTCGGGCGAGGATGTCTAAAGCGAAAGTGGTCGAACCACCTCAACTCAGGGCGTCTCGGAACCCAGAGTTACGAGGATGTCTCAGGCGAAAGGGGCCGAGACACTATCGAGCAGGGCATCATTGAGATCAGGGTTGCGAGGATGTCTCAGGCGACAATGGCTGACCACCTCAGCTCGGGGCATATCGGAATCGAGACTTGCGAGGATGTCTCAGGCGACCGTGGCCTGACCAGCATGGGGCAGGAGATCTCTGAGGTCAGAGTTGCGAGGATGTCTCATGCGAAAGTGGTCTAACCACCTCAGCTCAGGGCGTCTCGAAACCCAGAGTCCCGAGGATGTCTCAAGCGAAAGTGGCCGGGCCACCATGGGGCAGGGCATCTCCGAGACCAGAGTTGCGAGGATGTCTCAGGCGAAGGTGGCCAGATCACTTCATGTCAAAGCACGTCGGCCTCCAAATTGCCGACGACGTCTCACGCGGAACTGGCCGGACGCGAACGCGCCGGCGTCCGGAGACGAACGCCGGCCCCGGCATTCTTGCACGTCCCGCACATGCACTGCACAGGTACGCACAGTATTCGCACAGGCCGAGCTCGCCGGTGGCCGAGCCAGGCCAGCGATTCCGAGATTCCCTGAGCTCGGGCCGTCAAGCCACTTTCGCCTGAGACAGCCTCGCAACTCTCACCTCCTCCTCCTCCTCCTCCTCCTCCTCCTCCTCCTCCTCCTCCTCTCCTCTGGCCGAGCCGAACAGGCAGGCTGGCCAGTGGCCGGGGGCGCCCGCCTCCTCCGCCCCCCCCTCCTCCCCCCCCCCTCCACCTCCCCCCCCCCATCCCTGCTTCTCCGGCCGAGCTGAGAAGGCGCGCGGGAGAGTATTTTATTAGGCGGGCGCGCCACCGCCAGCTCACGAACCGGGCGAATAACCGCCCCCGCCAGCAGCGGGCGAGTCTAAACGCACAACAAACTCTTTCAGGAAACCCTGGCACGCCCCAGGTTAGCTCTGCGAAGGCCAGGAGGCATTGGAGGCACAGGGGTCCCAGACAGCTCCTAGGGCATGAGCGTGCATGTGCATTGGGATGTGCACGCATGTGCGCCCGCGCGCTTCACCGCATGTGCGTGCATGTGCGGGCCCGCGCGGCCTCCCGAAGAGAGGTTGCACAGGCATGTGCGTGCATGTGCCGATGACAGATCTGCGATTCTCGAACACCTCCCGCATGTGCAGGCATGTGCGCGCATGTGCGTCGGACTGTGCGTGCATGTGCGTATGATGGATACATCAAAACACAGCGCACATGCCCCCGCACATGCCCGGGCACGACGTGCACAGTAGGAAGTCCATCCAAGAAGGACCGCACAGGCCTGGCACATGACTGGCACATGCCGCGCACATGCGCGCACATGACAGCGCAAAAACGGCCGCACATACACCACCCAGGGGTATAGATGTGAGTGCGGTATAAATAATACGAATACTACTAATACTAATAATACGTAATAGCAATGATAACAAATGTGGCCATTATTCTTCAGAGAAAACTGAGAGGCTCGGGCAGCGGTCTGGGCACCTCTCGAGATCGCGACGGGCCTTGGTGGCTTGGGTTAAAGCACGGGTGCGACGAATCTAGCACAGTCATCGGTTCACCATCGAGGCCCATCGGTGGGGCTGCTCTGGTTGTTGGTTACCCCAACGACGGGCACCACGGTCGGCCCCACGACCCACGGGCGGAAGGAGACGCGGAGGCGGAGTCGGGGCAAGAAGAGCAGCTCCCACAGCGGGTTTCACTAGCGGCTTGGAAACTGGCTTGCCGCAAGCTCTGGCACCAAGCTTGGCAGTTATTGCGGGCCACTGCATCATCGCTTGCGAGATACATGTCAAGAAACGCTCGATGTAGGCCTTCTCGGCCTGGTACTGCTGGATTTCGTTGTCCGAGGGGGACCCCAAGCTTTTGGGCAGCCGCTATGGCCAGTCGGTTAGCCGCAGAGTTTCCAAGGGCCAGAAACTTGTCCCTGGAGTCTTCTGGGAAGCTGTCCACGTCCTGATGGGCCCTCGTTTTACAAACTGTTGGGAGGGTCCTCCAACGCGTTTGCCTTCAACAACTACCTCCAGCCTGGCATACACATGGCTCCTCGGTGGTCGGAATACACTTTCCGTCAGGCGCGGGCGCGCGGGCCTGGCAACGCAAGACACTGAACGCCACGAAAATGGGCGTCGGCAGTCGCGGGCCCGGCGCCATGACCCGTCGCCCTGGGGCAGGCCCCCGAGGCACCGCTCGCGTCGAGCGCGCCGAGCTGCGCTGTCGCTGTAGCGTCGAGAGGCGCGCGCTGTCGCGCCGTGAGAAATGCGCGCGCGCGCCCATCTCCGTCAATAGTGCACCCCAAACCGTCTCTCCGAAACGGGCGCTGGATACCCCGGCAACCTCCCCCGTCGCGACGCTCCGCTTCGCCGCGACATCTGCGGCCCCTAGCGACTCGCGCTTGGCCCGCGAACGGCGCTGCGCCCAGCGCCGGGGCAACTCTCGAACGCAGGCGCCTGCCCGAGGCAGACAGGCGCTCAAGTCGCTGGGCACCGCCCGCCGATTGGAACACTCTGCTCCCCCCCAAAGGCTGTCGGACGAGGAAAACGCGCGTCGGGCTCTCGGCCTCGGCGCAGGCGTCGCGCGCGGGCCTGGCCGAGGCATACTGCCCCGAGTCGTCGGCCTCGCCCGCGACCGAATCATCAAAACGGCGGATTCTGTCCTCGCCCTGGGCCCCGCGAGCCCCCCCCCCCCCAGCCGGCGCAAGAGCGGCGACCGAAGAGACTCTGGGCCCTGGCCTGTCGGCGCGCGTCGCCATCAGAGGCGCCGCTGCGCGCGGCGACGAGGGGAGGGCGCCCCGCGCCGCCCGCGGCTCGAGCGGGCGCCCCCCGCGCGACGCCGCAGATGCGAAGTCGACCGCGCAGTCGCAGGGTGCGCCCCGATGGTGGAACTCGCGACGCCGCTTCGAGGTCAGAGCGCGCGCGGCCGCATCTGGAAAGAGAGGCCCATCACGGGGGCGCGAACGCGCCGGCCGCGTTCAGGCCCCGCGCCAGGAACTTGACATGGAAAGGCGCCCGCCTCTCAGGACAGCCAGACGGCCGCGCGAGTGCGCCTGGCTGCAGGCGCCAGTCTCGCGCGGGATATCCGGCGACAGCGGCGCATCGAAGTCTCCTCCCACAACAAAATGTTTGCAACCAGGTCTCAGCAGCTGCTGCATTAAACATGGTAAGTGGATTGGCCCAAGCACCTGGCACGCACCATCCCGATCTGCACGCGCCGGGACGAACCCGACTGCTTGCAATCGACGCCCCGCGGTGCTTGTATGCAACAACAAGGGAAACAGTCAAGCAACCACAGCCAAGCGCCGAAGACCGCGTCGCATCACTCATCCTTGTTCCCGACGGTCCTGTGTCAGAGAACTAACGTCCTGCAAGTCGCACCATTTCGCGATGAGACCCATCCCAATAGGATGCCCGAGAAACTAAAGACACAGCTGGCATTCCACAACACGAACCTGCAAATTCTTCCTACGCGCGAAATGCATATGACATACATCGGTACCGACCGTCGACCAAGCCAAACAAGTAGACAGTATCACTTCTCTACAGACGGCCAATCGAGAAACGTCGATGCTCAGTTCTGGAAATACCTTCCACCCACTGAATACAAACAAAAAAAACCTTCAGGACATCTGAACCTGTGCTCACCACCAGCAAGCCAGAAGGGACGAAACAGTGAAGATTTACCTTTGGGCGGTGCCACGCAATCGTTCTGACCCTGCCACATTTGGGAACGCTAGACGCTACTGCCGAACGTGGAGCAAACGTTGCTGAATATTGTCGACTGTCTTCTGTTGTCGGACCAACACCATGCAATCGGGGGATGAAGTATTGACGTGCCGATGCAAGAAGCTACTCGCCTCATGCTGGGTGACTCGTAGCATTTGGGTCTGCACGGCTTACCGCCAGGGCCGCCTCCGAAGCTGCAGGGTTGGACTTGGTGCCAGCACCACGAAGAGTGGCAGTCGAACGTCCTCCACTGCCTAGTCGAACCTCTCCTCCATCTCCAAAGACCTGCCTACGCGGCGAACCATATAGTTACCGAACCCTTCAAAATATATTATAAAACGATCTGCCCTACTCTCTGCTGCATGGCCTGCGGTTTTGACCCGAATTTAGTCGAGCCTGGCCTCGTCATGGATGCGCCTCAGGATTTCGAAGAGGAGGCCTGTCCTGATTGACCTATGGGGCATCGAGGGGATCTCAAAGCAGTCCTCCTCACCAGACATGCGGTAGGTAGAAGCTGAATCTGCCGAACAAGTCTGGCGTGAAGCGCCACACTTCTGGCAAAAATGGCAGGAGGATGTGGATGGCGAGAGAGATAGTAGAAGAGCAACAATAGCAGAAACATGATCTTTCGATACCCGCGCGGATATGTTGGATCTGCGCTGGTCCCTCCCGTCTGGCGCGCGGAGCGCGCCAAGGGGGCTGCGCCCGAGGCGCTGCCAGAGGGGGCACCATCGCAGATCCGAGAAATCCATGCGTAGCTCCGAAGGTTTATGTTTGCGCCGTTCTGTTCCCCGAACGGAGGAAGAGGAAAAGGAGGAAAGGGGCGAAGAAAACGAGGAGGAGGAGGAATAGGAGGAGGAAGGGGAGGAGGAAACTGAGGAGGAGGAGGAGGAGGAGGAGGAGGAGGGGGAGAAAGAGCGCCGGTCGCGAGAGGTGGTGCCGCCGCTGACGTGGGCCCGCCCGAGACTGCTCAGGTCCCCGGCCTCGCCCTGCAGCTGGGCGCACTCCTCGGGCGTGGCCAGGGAGTGCACCGCCACCACCAGCGGCGTCCTCCTCGCGGCGGCGCGCCAGAGAGAGATTTGCTGCAGCTTGCGACTCCCAATCGCCCCCTGGAGCTGAGCCCGGCACCACGACGTCTGCCTGCAGCGTGCGGGTCGCACACTGGTCAGAGCCACGCCTGGGAACATGTAATCGCCCAGCTTCGAGCGCCGCGCCCCTGGATGCGCAACGCAACGCAACGTGGCACGCAAAAGAAGGGGCCCAGAGGTCCAACGTATTGAACAAATCAAGACGAAATTGTTTCGCCATGTTCGGCATGTGGAGGCCCTCGCCAGAACCCCCGGGACCGTCAAAAGACGGCCCAGGATGAAAAACTGGTCCCTGCGAATGGGTCGAGAATCCCAGGGAACACGTAACAAAAATATCAAAGCATCGGATACCTGGGGGTGGAAGGGGGGTCGATTTAGGTGAAGGATTCGGTACCATGCGTCCTCCTCGTGCGCTCATCCTCATCCTCCCTCTCATCCTTCCTCCTCATCATTTTCCTCCCCCCCCTCCTCCTCTTCCTCCAACTCCCCATCCTCCTCCTCCTCCTCCTCCTCCTCCTCCTCCTCCTCCTCATCCTTTCTGCTCTTCCGGCCATGCTGACACATAGTACCACAGGGGGATCGGCCTTTCTAAAAAAACTGCCTAGAACCCTTCAGCCCTCCCGTCTTCTACAGACACTTCTTGGCACCCTCTGCGTCTTTCTGAGGACCCCTACCTTCATACCAAATTACCAAGGTCGCCCCACCCTGATGAACGCGCCGCCAATCCTCAGCACGTCTGCGCGCATCACTGCGCCCTGGTTGCCACCGCTGGCGCTGCCGTGCACCTCCTTAGTCTCGATCGGAACCGAGCTCTGCTTGAAGCTGCAAAGGAGCCAATGGTTAATGGTTCCCCACAACGTAAGGGCCGGGGAGCAAACAAAGCAGAGCGAACGCACCGTGAAGGAATAAGGAAGGGAGGGACGAAACGGACAGGAGATGGAGTACAGCCCCGTTCATCATAAATACACACTGTATGTGTTTGTCGTTTCGAATTCGGAATGCTGGAAACCATTGCTTTACCGCTTCCATGTTCCCCAATATAAAAAACTCTAAGCAACAAATCGCTGCTCGGAATTATCAAATCCGTCTTCGTAGTTTTCAGAACCGTGGATTAAATTGTTTAGCATTGCCGTCAACGATGTCCCCACGTCCTTCTCAGTGCGCCAAATCTTCCACGCATCATGGATCTTATATGTTTGATGTTGATCTTCTCTGGTCGTCACTGCTGGCAACTCGCGGGCCTCCGAAACTGTTTCGCGCTGGTGTTGGGCGATACGAAACCGTTTCCCGGGAACCGTTTCCCCGGAACCGCTTCCCTGGGACCGTTTCCCCGGAGGACCGTTTCCCCGGAGACCTCTTCCCCGGGGACCGCTTCCCCAGAGGAGCGTTTCCCCGGGACCGTTTCCCCGGTTCCGTTTCCCCGGGAACGCTTGCCCAAAACCGTTTCCCCCGATCCGTTTCCCCGGAGCTGGTTCCCCAGAACCGTTTCCCCGCAGCCGGTTCCCCTGGACCGTTTCCCGTGTGCACCGTTTCCCCGGAACCGCTTCCCCGGAACCAGGTCGGGCTCGGGTCGGGACATTCAAAAAGAATGCATCATCGAGTTGGCACGCGAGTACCCAAACGGGCGGGACGGGTCCGGCGGGCCGGCGGACCCGAACGGGCGGACCCAAACGGGCGGGATGGGTCGGGTCGGGCGGGCGGGACATTCAAGTAGAATGCATCATCGATTTGGCACGCGAATACCCTAACGGGCGGGAAGGGTCTGGCGGGCGGGCGGACCCTCACGGGCGGGACGGGTCGGGTCGGGTCGGGCGGACCCTAACGGTCGGGACGGGTCGGGTCGGGCGGGACATAAAAGAATGATGCACCATCGAGATGGCACGCGAGTACCCTAACGGGCGAGACGGTCCCGGCGGGCGGGCGGACCCTAACGGGCGGGACGGGTCGGGTCGGGCGGGCGGACCCTCACGGGAAAGGTCGGGTCGGGTCGGGTCGGGCGGGCGGGACATTCAAGTATGATGTACCACCGAGTTGGCACGCGAGTACGCTAACGGGCGGGACGGGTCCGGCGGGCCGGACCCTATCGGTCGGACCCTAACGGGGGTCGGGTCGGGTCACGCAGGGGTGGGCGGGACGGGTAACGGGCGAATCGGGTTGGGTCGGGCGGGCAGGACATTAAAGTATGATGCACCATCGAGTTGGCACGCGAGTACCCTCACGGGCGGGACGGGTCCGGCGGCCCGGCGGACCGGGTCGGGCGGGACGGGTCCGGCGGGCGGGCGGACCCTAACGGGCGGGACGGGTCGGGTCGGGTCGGGCGGACCCTCGAGATGCATCATCGAGATGGCACGCGAATACGCTAACGGGCGGGACGGGTCCGGCGAGCGGGCGGCCCCTAACGGGCGGGACGGGTCGGGTCGGGTCGGGCGGACCCTAACGGGCGGGACGGGTCGGGTCGGGCGTGCGGGACATTAAAGAATGATGCACCATCGAGTTGGCACGCGAGTACCCTAACGGCGGGACGGGTCGGGCGGGCGGACCCTAACGGGCGGGACGGGTCGGGTCGGGCGGGCGGACCCTAACGGGCGTGGTCGGGTCGGGTCGGGCGGGCGGGACATTGAAGTATGATGCACCATCGAATTGGCACGCGAGTACCCTAACGGGCGGAACGGGTCCGGCGGGCGGGCGGACGGGTCGGGTAGGGCGGGCGGACCCTCACGGGCGGGACGGGTCGGGTCGAGCGGACATAAAGTAATGGTGCGCATCGAATGGCACGCGGTACCCTAACGGGCGGGACGGGTCCGGCGGGCGGACCCTAACGGGCGGGTCGGGTCGGGTCGGGCGGACATTAAAGTATGATGCATCATCGAGTTGGCACGCGAATACCCTAACGGGCGGGACGGGTCGGCGGGCGGGCGGGACGGGTCGGGTCGGGCGGGCGGACCCTCACGGGCGGGACGGGTCGGGTCGAGCGGGCGGGACATAAAATAATGGTGCATCATCGAGTTGGCACGCGAGTACCCTAACGGGCGGGACGGGTCCGGCGGGCGGACCCTAACGGGCGGGTCGGGTCGGGTCGGGCGGACATTAAAGTATGGTGCGCCATCGAGTTGGCACGCGAGTACCCTAACGGGCGGGACGGGTCCGGCGGGCGGGCGGACCCTGACGGGCGGGACGGGTCGGGCGGGCGGGCGGACCCTAACGGGCGGGACGGGTCGGGTCGGGCGGGCGGACCCTAACGGGCGGGTCGGGTCGGGTCGGGCGGGCGGGACATTAAAGTATGATGCACCATCGAATTGGCACGCGAGTACCCTAACGGGCGGGACGGGGGCGGGGGGCGACGGGTCGGGTCGGGCGGGCGGACCCTCACGGGCAGAAACGGGTCGGGTCGAGCGGGCGGGACATAAAACAATGGTGCATCATCGAGTTGGCACGCGAGTACCCTGACGGGCGAGACGGGTCCGGCGGGCGGACCCTAACGGGCGGGTCGGGTCGGGTCGGGCGGACATTAAAGTATGGTGCGCATCGAGTTGGCACGCGAGTACCCTAAAACGGGCGGGACGGGTCCGGCGGGCGGGCGGACCCTGACGGGCGGGACGGTCGGGTCGGGCGGGCGGACCCTAACGGGCGGGACGGGTCGGGTCGGGCGGGCAGGACATTAAAGTATGATGCGCCATCGAGTTGGCACGCGAGTACCCGAACGGGCGGGACGGGTCGGGCGGGCGGACCCTAACGGGCGGGACGGGTCGTGTCGGGTCGGGCAGGACGGGTCGGGTGGGTGACCCTCGATGATGGATGAGGGAGGAGAGGGGAGGAGGAAGTAGGGAGGGATGAGGGATGTGGGGCGGGGGGACGTAGCGGCAACGAGGGATGGGGGAGGGCGGGAGGGCAGAGAGGGATGGATGAGGAGGAGGAGGAAGAAGAGGAGGAGGAGCAGCAGCAACGGCAACAGCAGCAGCAGTGTAATGAGAGAGAGTAGCAGGAGGGAATCGCCTCTGTGGAACCCGTCCTGTGGAACCGGTCCTGTGGAACCAGTCCTTTGGAACCGGGCTTGTGGAACCGGTTCTGTGGTACCCGTCCTGCGGAACCGGTCCTGTGGAACCGGTTCCGTGGAACCGGTTCTGCGGAACAGGTCCTGTTGAACCAGACTTTGTTGAACCGGTCCTTGCTGAACTGGTCGTCTGTTGAACCGGTGTCTGTTGAACCGGTCGTCTGTTGAACCGGTCGTCTGCTGAACCAGTCTTCTTCCTGTTGGGCTGGTGTTAGGCCGTTCCCTGCGTTTGCGTTTTCAGCGCTGCGAGCACTAGCGGGAAGAACAAGAAACAACAATAACGGGATATCCGGAGCGAGGACGGCGAGGAAGAGAACGAGCAGCAACTCGACAACAACACTGCTAAACAAATGCTGGTCCACAACGACGGGCCACCGAAACACGTGAGGCAGCGCGGCCCCAAACAATGTGTTACTAACAGTCCACGTTGTGCAGTCTACGTGGAACGATATGTGTGGTTGAATTGTTTTTCTACCAGCAAGTTGACACATCCCACGCAATTGCAAACATCTCACAAACCCACCCGCAACTTGGTTTGCGAATCCCATGCGGCGGCGACTGCGATGAATGCTTGGCGTTGGCTGGTGTACCTCTGCGGCCGCACTAGCCCACGCATGCTCGCGCGCACTGCGGCCAGCTAGTTTAGCGCGACCGACGCGGCCGCGGTGGCGCTGACCGCTGGGCACTTCCCAGCGGGCACTTCAGTGCGAGTCGGTGGCTTGGACGAGCGCGGTGTCATGGCGACGCCGACAACGGTAGACACGATTTTGAGAGCAGCGATGATGGTGACGATGGTGGCGATGACGATGGCAAGGCCAATGACTGCGCCGATGTTGATCACGCCCGCCAATAACGATGACGGTGTCCTCGCGTCGGCGATGAAGGTTTTTGCACGAGTTCGGCATGTGCGCACGGCCGACAAACGCGAGTGGCCCGCGTGGTAGTATTCGACACAGATCGTACCCCCCCCCCCAGAACGCGCGCTAAGGCGTTCGAATGAGTTCGACATGCGGCGCGAGACCGCCGTGTGGCAGAATTTAATGAACATGCCAAAAGAGCCAATTGTTTTCTTAAGAATTCGCAGGAGCGCGGGCGTAGGCTTGTTTTGGAAACCTTTGCTGCGAGACCCTGTGTTTGTTTTAAATATGTATTCGGGGCACTCGCTCTTTTGTTTGACATCCTCGCGAAACCTACTGTGGTCTTGTTTCAAAGATTTTGGCATGCGCGCGCGACGACGCGCTCGCGTGCACTTCGTCCCGTTATCTGCAAGGGATTCCTGCGACAGCACGCGCGAAGGGGCGTCCGGCGTCCGAAAGATTTCGTCATGGGCGGCGAGAGGCCCGTTTCGTAGCATGTTGTGACGATGTTGAAAAACATATGGATTTCTGAAAAATTCGCGAGAGCGCGGGCGCAGGTTGTTCTTGAAAACGTGTGTTGCAAAACCATGTGTTCATATGTTGTTCGAGACACTCGATTCTGAAACAATTACGAAACCTGCAATTTTTGAAGGATTTCGGCATACGCGCGCGACGACGCGCGCGTGCGCACTTCGCCCTTTTTTTGCAAAGGGATTACCCTTGAAAATTTATGTTTCTTGGTAAGCGAAAGCGCGCAAAGAGCATTTCTTGCAGAGAATGAGGGGAGGGGAGCGAACTCCAGCCTGGCTGGATGGTACGAATTCAGATTTAGGGACGGCCGAATCGCACGTACGTGTGTAAACTGCATATCCCCGGGGGTACCGATAAATCCGGCCTCGGATGCGAACTAATTTTCAGAAAAGAATCGATGTGGTGCAAGAAATGTTGTGCAACCCATGTTGCTCAGTCACGTTGTGTAGAATATGTGGTGCCATTCGCCGACCCTTTGCGGGCCTCCAGCCCGCGCAGGGAATCCCACCAGCCCTTCGGGCGTGAGTGGTTTAGAGAGCCCGC